CATAGTGCCTAAGGCATTTGACTGCTAATCAGAAGGGTGGCGGTTCAAACCCACCAGCCACTCCTTGGAAGGAAGGCTGGGCAATCTACTTCCATAGAGATACCACCTCGGAAACCCTAGGAGGGGTTGCTATGAATCGGATCTGACTCGATGGCAGTGTGTTGTTTGTGTATCTCTTCTCTTCTTTGTCAGTCTACTTAAAGATCTGTCAATTTTATAGATCTTTTCAACAATCAACTTCTAGTGTTATTGATTCTGTGTATTGCTTTTCTGTTTGCAATTTTACTTTTTATGCTCTGATCTTTCTTACATCCTTTCTTCTAATAGTTTTAGGCTTAGTTAATTCTTCTCTTTCTAGTTCCTGGAGTTGTCGAGTTAGGCTGTTGATTTGAGATGGTTCTTCTTTTTACACATTTGTATTTATTGCTATAAATTTCCCTCTGAGTACTGACTGCTTTGGCTGCATCCCTTAAGTTTTGGTTATGTTGTGCTTTCATTTTCATTTGCACTTTCTTCATTGACCCATTGGTAGTTAAATAGTACATTGTTTCATTGCCATGTTTGTTGCATGTTCAGGTTAATTTCTGTTATTGGCTTCTAGCTTCACTCTGCCATGATCAACGAAAATACTTCGTATGATTTTAATTTTTTAAAATTTATGAAGACTTGCTCTGTGACCTAAAATGTGGTCTATCTTCATGGTAGTTAAGGTTGTGTGTATCAACTTGGCTTGGCCATGATTTTGAGTAACTTGGCAGCTGGATGTAGTTATTCCCCACTAGGAGGCTGGATGTAGTATAGTCACACCCATGGTGGAATCTGCTGTGAGCAGCTAATTAATTGAAGGGGAGTTGCCTGCAGGGTGTGTCCTACATCCAGTATGTATGGAAAAGCTTTGAGAAAGATCTCTAGCATTTTGCATCCTGCCATTCATCTCCAGTTCTTGAACTTGAACCAGTGTTTTGTTGTGTTGTCTGCCGATATCGGGATTGTTGGGTTAGTAGTCTGTGAGTCAACAATCTGCCATTCTACTTGCTGATGTTGAGTTGTCAGCTTGAGCAGTCAATAGCTGTTTGAGTCAGAAACAGCTTCCAGTTTGCTCCAATCAATCAGCCCCTAGAGCTGGCACTTTGAACTTGGGATTTCTAGCCAAGTCTTCTCCTAAAACCAGCAGTATGAATTTGGACTCTAGCTTCCAAAACTGTAAGAGAATAAATTTGTTTGTCAAGCCATCCACTTGTGGTATTTCTTGTTATAGCAGCACTAGAGAACTAAGACAGTCCTGGAGAACGATGCATGTACACTAGAACAGAACGTATATCATGCTGTTTTGGGGTGGAGTGTTCTATATATGTCTGTTAAATCTAGTAGGTTTGTAGTGCCATCGAGGTCCTCTGTTTCCTTGATGCTTTTTCTAGATGTTCTGTTCAATGAAAATGGTATACTGAAGTCTCTAGTTATTACTGTAGTACAATCTGTTCTCCCTTTAATTCTATCAGTGTATGCCTTATACGTTTAGGTTCCCTGATGGGGCATATATACTTATGATGGTTAAATGCTCTTTTTTTTTTTTTATTAAATTGTGATTTGGGTGAAAATTTACAGAGCAAATTGACTTTCCATACAGCAGTTCACATACACTTTGTTTCAGGACATTGACAACAATTCACCACAATAATTGTTAAATGTTCTTAGTTAATTGACCCTTTTATCTCTCCATAATGTCCACCTTTATCTCTTCTGACAGATTTCATTGTCAATTTTATCATTTGTGAGTTGATCTGAAATTAGTAGTATTTGACAGAATAAATTAGCAATACTAATGAACTAATATTTGACTTGTTCTGTATCATCTGTACATATGCAGGATCAGAGACAGGGAAAGGCAGATACAGGCTTTGAATGATGACTATAACATCTCAGTATTTAGGTTATCCCAGCTGTCAATTAGAAAGTAAAAAAGAAAACAATAGCCTCCAAGCAGTCAAAGAGATTATGGCCAAGGAGGTAATAGACATACATCCTTACATACACACAAAACTAATGACAAGATTCAAAAAAAGGCTTTATTTATCATGTTTTCCAGTCAATATAAACAATGTAAATTCTGTCTGAAGAAATAGGAACATAAGAAATGAAAATATTAAGTTAAATTACTAAATAAACAACATTAAAATTTAAGAGAAAGAGCCAGTAATGAAACAAGAGTACTTTCTGGACTGTAGGTAAAATATAATCACTGAGAAATACCACTGATGGACCACCTAAATAAATAAGCAAATAAGTAAATAAATAAATAAATAAAATTATGGTAAGATTTCTCTATAAATAAAGGAAGGGAAGTATTTAACTATACATTTTTATGATGACTTTTGTATGAAACAAAAAAGTGAACAATACCCTTGCATGTTCATTTTGACATTTTTTTAAATACTTTTACCTGGGTCATTTTAGCAAGCTTTTCCTAACATTTTCATACAGTAGATACTTAATTTTGAATTTAGAAGGAAAGGTAATTTTTAATAACATTGTAATTTTGTTTGAGCCTGATTTTTAGGAAATAAATTAGAAAGAGCTGCCAAATAGGCATTATTTTCTGAAAGATGAGAAAAACACAAATACCCACAAGCAATCTCTGTTCCAAGTAATGTTCACTCCCTTTCTGTCATCACTGTTCCTCTAACAATCTTCAGGGAAAATTAAGTAGTAGAAGAATCCAGGTAACTAAACCAAAGCATTTTCCCCCAATAGTATAAAAGCATTTTATACTATTGTCTTAGGTACATTCAGCCTAAAAGGTTTTCTTGATTCTGTCCTTTGTTTTACATCAAATAGAAAAATACACACACATATATATATATATATATATATACCTGTTTGTAAAGCCAACCTCGTCTCACTACCGGTGCATTAGGATTCCTTTTAATTGAGTTTGACCTCTTTCCAAAATTGTGAACTTTTTTTGAAGCTCGTGAAGTCTAAATAGAAAAAAGCAGGATAGAAAATATGGCATTAATGCCTAGAAAATTGAGTGTATTTTCATCATCCTCAATTTAATCCCTAGTCGGATTTCCCTGACATTTGGAGGATATAAACTTGCCAAATCAATTATTACAACTCCACTATTGCTAGCTTTCTTGTTTAAATGTAAGAATTTGCACAAAGACTTTTCCTCCCAGGATATTACATGTTACAAAAGGATCAAAGTGTTATTTCTCTCTAAAATCTGGATATGCAATTTTCACAAAAGGCAGAGTGTGTGGCAGTATTTAGTCCTACCTGTTACAAAATGAATGAACCTTGAGTAAAAATTAATAAATTTTTAAGAATAAACCAAACAGAACTTTTTGCACCACATCTGCATTTAATAGGGTTGTTTCAATTAAAGAGAATTAACAGCATTAAGTCAGAAGAGAAAAATTCAGATATTAAACAAACATATCACAAGTTAAAATAAGACTGGAAAGATCCACTTAATGTCATGTAGTGTTTTCTTCTATGGAAAACTCTGAACCACAACAATACTAGACAGACGGTATTTACTGTATTCTAAAGAGTAAGCAGAAGGATATAAAATCCTTTTAAATAGTGCTGTGTTCGGCATGAAGATTTATTCTACAGGAATAGTAGTGGTAACCCCAAAACAGGAAAACTGAATTGGAATTTCTCTATAACATAAAAGGTAAATAATATTAAATTATCTCCCATTTCTCACCTTAATCTAGAGTCTTTGGAAATAGCATATTTCAATAGATTTTTGTTTTATAAAGCTTGTATTAGTACAAAATAGAATGTTAAGGCCCAGTACCAATACACTTTCCCTAAAGCATGTTTCTTTGCTAACTTTTAATGTATCTTTGAACAGACAATATATAAACACAGTAAAAAATGGAAAAGGTACAAAAAGATATACAAGGACCTCTACTTCTCACCCCTGGGGCTCTAGGACTCATCACCACAATCTCATTTGTCTATCTACCTACTTAGTATAAATAGTTTTTTTTTCATATTTTTGGGGTATCTATTCTTTCTCAAATGATTGCATATATAATACCTATGCCTGTGTTCCACTATATTTCTTAGAGCTTAGTACATAAAGAGAATGCCTATTTACAGTCATTCTTATCAACATGTTATGCTTTGAAACTTTTGATCTTTCAACATTTGATGAAATATGGTGATTTTTTGCAGTTTTAAAATATATGGCAGGTTACGAATGAGGATGAGCATCTTTTATATAAGTATAATGTTCATTTATTTTCTGGAACTGATTTTAAATACTTTCCCATTTTTATACTGTGTTGTCTTTTTCTTATGGAGCCATAGGAGCTCTTCAATTATAAAGGAATTAATTCTTTGATTGTTATATGAATTGCTGAACTTGATGCTCTTTTCTATTAAGATTCTAGGTTTTATATCATAATTAGAAAATCCATCTCCATTCTGAGTTTTTTTTTTTTTTCTTTTAAACTTCCACTGTTTTTTCTAGTGATTTTACAGCTTTGTCTTTAGCATTTCAACAATGATCCAGCTGGAAAATTTCTAGTACACAGCGTGAGG